TGGAAGATAACAATTTATGATAAATAAACAAACATACAAACAAACATGTTACGGGTGCAAACCTCTTCCAAACCATACTACAACATACCAATACATATTGCACAATAGCTGTTCCCACACACAAATTCCCAGAAAGAACGAAGACACACTTTACAAAGGAAATTAATAAAAGGGAATACGACAGGGCGGTGAGAGGCCAGTATGTTTTAAGTCGCGAACGTACGGTGTATATTTTAGGAATCAATCACGATTCATACATATAATTATTATTATGTAATTACTAATTTTAAATGAAGACTCTGTGTTAAATTATATTAAACGACATTGCGTACTTAAACAGTATTCGTTTTTTAAAAAAAACCTATCACCGACCGTCAGAACGTAATTAACATAAAAAGATTATTGTATTTATATATAATGTTTACTCAGTTACTGAATGTGTCGCACAACTATTTCTCGGTTTACCAAATGGTTGACTGGTAGAGAACACCGTCCGGTGTTAAGTCCGCCAAATGTGCATACATACATGCCCATCGCGCAATAAAGTTTAAGTTATTAATAAAAATAAAATAGGTTATATCGTCACCTTTATGGCAAATTTACGAATCTGCAGTTTTTTCAAATTTAACATTTCTTTAAAAATCTACATTTTGCGCCATACTACTTATTGTGGCTCATTTTCAAATTTCTATCTCTAACGGTTAAAGAAATCGAGTAGCTCGAATCTCCATATTTTTGTGATATACCCAAAGTAAATTTACTTAGCAAATTTTTATAGTATTTTCTTAATAAACACTTTAATTTGAAAATTTCAATAATTATTTTATCAATTTTCAATCCTAATTTAGTTATTTTACACGAATGATTGCTATAACGTTGTTATTTAAACTGAAGTTCTCTCCAAAACACGTGATATATACCTTGGTATATTTATGAAAGTGGCACTTTCGTTAGTTTGCCAGATATTAAAATGAATTATTTTCTTTGTCACCTTACGAAACTGCCACTTTCGTAGATTTGCTGTTGTATAACTCAATACCTATGAATTCTCATGTATGAAGGTGCAAAGTAACGAATGTGCATTTATTTCTGATACTTGTAATAAAATAGTAATTAATTAAGTGCATTCAATAAAAAACCGGATTTTAAAACTAAAATGTTAGCATGATCTTTTACAGTAGTCTTCTGTCAAAAGTTATTTGCATTCTAATGTTTCAAAACGTTCCCCTGTAAAATGTATCTTTTTCAGTTTCGTAAGTTTACCATAAAGGTGACATTATATCATTTTTAAAAATTCTATCTGCGCGTGCGAAGCCGGGTGAGATCGTACAGTATACCATTATATACCATCGTATAGAAAAACATAAGAACTAATATAAAAAGAATGCTGTTGCCACTTGTGCAGCTATAAATCAGGATAATAATGCAAAAAAACAAGAAGATCTATAGTGACAGTCAAGTGGCTAACAAAGCACTTGTATAAACAGAAACGGAATTCAGGGCTAACTTAATATACCATTCAAAATTTAAATGATTTGCTACATCGATCTCGCCGAAGACTAACTTAATAAACTCGAGCGTCTCCAAAACCTGTTTATTAGATTTATATTTGGACTTCGCAAATACGACCACATCTCTAACTTTCGCACTCAGCTCAAGTGGCTCCCGATACGTCGACGCCGAGATTGGCATATACTATCTCTTCTTTATTCCATTCTATTCAATCCTCTTACACTTTACTATCTCAAAGAGCGATATATATTTCTCGGTGAAGTGCAGTCACGCTTCGCGTACCTCAAATAGTCTCCGTTTAAAAACCCCAATACCTCCGTGTACTACACCAAATCCTTTTCCGTTCAGGCAGTGCGCCTATGGAACTCGCTGCCACCGTCTATTCGGAGTGCCAATCCTTGGCTTCGTTTAAAGGACAAGTCAAATCACATTTTCTTTCACTATAGTTACTCTTTTCCATTCCTTTGTGTGTGCTATGTATGTATTCCTTATGTGTTCTTTGTATGTTTATGTATTTTGTTTGTATGTTATATATATATATATATATATATATATATATATATATATATATATATATATATATATATATATATATATTATAGTAAGTAGTTTAATAAATTATACATACATACATACATATCTGTCACGTCTGTCTCCCATTAGGGTAGGCAGAAACAATGGAACGCCAAATGCTTCGATTTAAACAAACCTCTTTCGCTTCCTCCACATTTATCAATCTTTTCATACACGCTCGCCGGTTACGGGTACTTTTAATTTGGCCCTTCTTCAGCACGTCGCCTATTTGGTCGACATACGTCCGTTTAGGGCGGCCCCTACCGACATCTCCATTCATTCTTGCTCGATAAATCTCTTAATAAATTATATGTATTTGATATTTTTGTGCATTAGGGGTTTTTGTATTTTATGCACGAAAAATTATTAATTCACTCTTGTGCCACCTGTATAATAAATAAATAAGTGTAATAGAGTCCGTTTGATATGTATCGCAGAACATGTAGGGATTTTTTTTTTAATGGGTGAAAATGAATTGGTAACTCCGCTAGCGCTATCGGTATACACCGAGGCACCAATGTAAGATGATAGGTGAGAATGAATGCAGGTCAGTTGGCCCACCATGATGAATTCGACGAGAATCAAACATGATGGTTTCCAGGGGGAACCGCGTGGAGGTCGATTTGAGAGGGTATATTGCTAGTAATGGGGCTATTAGACCCCATTACTAATAATTCCTTTCCCCCCACATATAGGAATTAAAGGTAATGAAAAATCCGAAAAGTTGGCAAAAAGTAGGATAGAATAAAAAATAATAGGTGAACTGGGGAAAGGGATTGTTAGCAATGGAGTTTGACAGCTCCATTGCTAGCAATATGCCCTATTAGGTCGACCTCTACGTGGTTCCTCCTGGAAACCATCGTGAACAATTCTTGTTTAATTCGTCACGATGGGCTAATTGACCTGCTTCATCCTCACCTTTTTTTTTATACAATTTAAAATGGCAAACAAGCTGACGGCCCACCTGATGGAAAGTGGTAACCGTCGCCTATAGACACGAGCAGTACCATGGACATAACAGAGTATACTGTTTCGCCCATGATACCCCCCATGCGTTGCCATTCCTTAAGACTCAGGTGTTATTCCTCTGTACCCAGTAAATTTACGCCATACTTCAAACCCACCCTTCAAACCGAAACACAGCCATGCAAACACAACTGCTTCACGGTTGAAACACGAATGGGACAGAGGTACCCAAGCAATCGACTTTTGTGCAAAGTCATCCTTCATTGGTGTCCCGCCGGTGTATACCGATAGCGCAGGTGGGGTTGCCATTCCATTATCACCTATTAAAAAAAAAAACATTTGTTGCACTTGTATCGAGTGTGCAACTATGCACCTGAAGAATATGCGAGAATATTTTACCAGAGCGAGATGTGAAGTTAGTTAGAAGTACCATGTAAGATGTGAAGTTGACGTAAAATGATAATCCAGAAAAAGTTTGTTAATACGCTTGATTGGGGGGAAAGGGATTGTTAGTAATAGAGACTAAAAATCCCATAGCTAGCAATATACCCAGCCAGGTCGACCTCCTCGCGGTTCTCCCTGGAAACTATCATGGTTAATTCCTGATGAATTCATCATGATGGGCTAACTGGCCTGTTTTCATTCTCATCTATCACCCTTTACTGGTGCTCCGCCACCGTATCCCGTTAGCGCAGGCGGGGTTACTATACCATTATCCAGCATTAAAAAAAAATACGCTTGATTATAGAACTAACAATCAATATGTAGATCGTGGTGTCTTTTATAAGCGACATCATGTAATGTCCTTAGAGAAACTTCATTGTCTTGATGCAACCATTGAAAATATCTTTATCTCTGTATAATAGATTTAGCAAATAAACCTTCATTGGACAGCTCAAGTTTTGATATATGTACATTATATTGCGAATTCTAGATTTGGCAGGCATATTCCAAGTTGCTACGAACATAGGCACAATATAAGAACTTAATCGTCTTTTTGCCTTTAAAGGAATATGACGACTGCATAATAAAACCTAGAGCTTGGGTTCCTTGGCATGCAGTAACCACTTGCCATCGGGTGGACCGTATGCTTGTTTGCCACCTCAGTGGTATAAAAAAAATCTTTATTAGCTTTACTAATAATATGACATTCAAATAAGAGCCTATTGTCATTATGTACTCCTAAATCTAGAATGTTTTAAATTCTCTCTAGTGCAAGATTTTTAATTTTATAATCGAAGTAGAGAACATTTGATTTCTTGCTAAAGTTGACAGTATAATATTTTGGAACATTAATAACTAGTCTGTTTACAATACAATAAGCATCTAAATTGGAAAAATCGTCTTAAAGTTGTTTTCCTTCGTTTATATTGTTGACAGTTTTGAATGTATTCATACCATTCTCAAAAAGAAGATACCTAGTCAGAATGTTTAAAACATGTTTCAATGTCGTTAACAAAAATAATGAATAAGAGCAGGCCTAATAAAGAACCCTGAGGTATGCCTGAAGGCACTGATACTCAAGATGATATGAATCTGTTTAAACTTACTACAGTTTAGCCTAATTAGTTAAATAATTGGATTGTTAGTAACAACACAACACTCATGTATTGTTATTCCTAGAGTTTTGTGCCTCTTTACTCTCTAACTTCATTGTCATAACCCACCATTCAAATCGGAACAGGCATGGCAGAGTTTTGCAAGGAATCACAACAGAAAATAAATAATACCATAAAGAAAATTTCACCCAAAATTCTTAAGGTATCCTAATATTCAAATATAACTAACTTATTTTCTGAATAGTGCTTACTAACATTTGAAAAGAAATAATAAATAAAAAAACGAAAAATTTGTTAAACATTTATTAAAAGAAAGTGAAAAATTTGAACAAAAACAAATATCCTTTTTTAATTATATAAATTAATTTTGAGAAAATATATAACAATCATTAATTATTAATCACAATACTTCAAATCTTCATAATTTTAAGTTTGTTACTAAAAAAATGAATCTTGTTATCTGACATTAAACAAATTTGAATTTGAATTAGACATTACACTGAGAATGGGAACAATTAAAACATATTACATTTCATTGTAGTGTTAAGACAACTTCGTTAGTTTAACATGATTTTTACTTAAATACAATGGATGGTCCGATGCATTAAACTGAGTATCAGGATAAAGCCAGACTTTGGCTCAACGGTACAACAACGCAGGCCAGTTTTTTGCAAAACTAAGATTATAGTTCCATACTGACTAGACGAACTGTCGCTTTTCTGAGCATAACAAAAGCCAATAAAATTGTTTGTCATCATTTGAGCTGATTGTATTGAATACCCATCTTCAAAGTCTTTATTCCTCGTTAGAAATTAAAGTCCCCATCGCTAGAAATGTTTAAACCACTATTGGAATTGTTGTTACGTTTTACTGAAAGTTTTGTTTCTTGAAATGTTTTAATTGCTGCCCGGAAACACTGTTAGAATTACCGTTTTAGTATGAACTGGAAGTTGAATTGCTGAAGCTAATAGAATGGCCGAGGTCGCTGGAGTTTACACCACCTGAGTTAGCGGTACGCCGCTGGAGTACAAACCGGAGTTTACACCGGTTGAGGTACTGGATCTCTCATAGCCGTTGGAGTATAAACCGGAGTTTACACCAGTTGTGGTACTGGATCTCTCATAGCCGTTGGAGTATAAACCGGAGTTTACACCGGTTGAGGTACTGGATCTCTCATAGTCGTTGGAGTATAAACCGGAGTTTACACCGGTTGAGGTACTAGATCTCTCATAGCCGTTGGTGTATAAACCGGAGCCAACACCGTTAGTGATACCGGTAGTGCCAAGGCCATTAGGATATAAACCGGAGTTTACACCAGTTGAGCTAACGGATCTCTCAAGGCCATAATTGTATAAACCGGGATTTAAACCGCTTGTGATACCGGTAGTGCCAAGACCGTTAGAGTATAAACCAGAGTTTATACCACTTGAGACGCCGGCAGTGTCAACACCAGTGGGATATAAACCAGAGTTTAATCCGTTTACGTAACCGGTTCTGTCAAGAGTGCTGGTGTATGAATCAACGCCTGTACTGCCCAAGACACCGTTGGTGCCTAAGACGCCATTTCCTGCAAAATACAATTAGATTTTAATAAAATAAAATTAAGAAAAATATTCACATGAAAATTGATAATGTAGACAATTATTCTGCAGATAAGAAACTATTTGTATTTGCATTTGTTACAGAACTAATATGTATCGCATCACAGCTACGTTCCCAGTTTTAGTAGCAGCTGGACTTGAGTCAGAGGCTGCAATGCTGCCTGCAGTATTAGGCGCTATTAAGACTCTTAATGCATCTATTTCCCCTCCTAATGAGGTAGCACCCAACACCTACGAAATTGCCAAGAGCAAAATCGGATTTAGCTTCATTTGCAGCACCAAATCTAGTTTAGATTCCAGTTGCGACTGAACAGAACTGGCAGAACCTCTTAATACAGATGATGCTGCAATATTACCTAGGGTTCCAACTCCTGCTGGATATACACCATTAAGTCCATTTACACCAGTAGCTCCCTCTACGCCACCGGCTACTTCTCCGCCAATGTCTGTTGACAAAACAAAATTTCAGATTTGGTCTGATTGAAATTCCAAGACGGTGTCGACGTTAATTCACTACTACCATAGCATAAAATAATTTCAAGTCAGGGCAGTACTACTGCTTTAGCACTAACGCGAATAGATTATTTTCAAAAAAGTAGATAACTACGACTACAGATTATTTCTGTACGAGCTACTTTACGTCACAAATACTGTCATCAGTGACGAATTCAATATCTCACATTACCACATTTTACCCAACCGTCAAATGAAGAAAATAATTTTCCAGCTTTATGAAATATGTCATTACCATTGGTACGATTTTAATATTACTTGTTGGACAATATGGTATGTGGTCCTGGCATAAATTAAACCACCTTTTGTTGTCGCAAGAGGCGACTAAGCGATATATACTGGTTAAAGAATGGGCTGTAGCGTCCTTCTTGAAATATAGCTAAAGCTAAAAGTAATTATAGACAAAATCTTTCAACAGTAAGCTATGTTCAGCGATGGACAGTTAATGATTGTTACCATCGTCATCGTGGTTAGATTTTAATAAAGTTTTATATCCAGTTTTCCAGCAATAAAACAGTGTCGATGGTTTATATTCTGCCCAAATTTAACCAAATTTCTTATATATCAAGGAAATTTGATATACGGGTAGGTTATCTAATAAAAACCCAAATGATACTTAATATCCTGATTTAAGCCGACAAATTCGCAGGAAATAGATGGTAGTTACAATTAAGATAAATATAAATACATTAGAAGAATTGTAAGATTGCCAGGGTCTATGTAACGAAAGGTCAAAGTACGTATGACAGGCATAACCAGACAAAATCAAAAACGTATAAGTAAAGTTGTCGTTTTGGATTTTTGATTTTTTGCTATATATAAATGATCAGGCTCAAAATAATTAAAATTAAGTGCTAAATATGATATCAATGGAGTGGTTCTAGAACTAGAATAATTTGTGTTATAAATAATAAGGCAGCGAATATCCAGAAGTACCACCCAGTACATCTTGATCCAAGCCAATTTGTTTAATGGTTGATAATGGAATAGTAACCCCGCCTGCACTATCGGGATCTAATACTGGCAGGGCATCAGTGAAGGATGATAGGTGAGGAAGCAGCAAGACAGTTAGTCCATCATGATGAATTGAACAAAAATTCAAACACGATGGTTTCCGCCAGAAACAGCAATCAGGTCGATCTGATTAGGAATATTGCTAGCAGTGGGTTGCTAACTTCTATTTTCGCAACCCAAGCCAATTTAGCAAAATTCGTTCCTAAATTAGCTCGATCAAGAATCAAACTCAGGATGTCATTTACGCGAAGGAGTGTCCCGTGACGCAATGGTGGTTTGCGTAAATGAATCGCGTGTCTAAAGAAATCAACAAAATTTAACTAAATTTATCAATTACAAAGTGTAGGTAGGTACTTACCAGAGACTAATGGGGAGCAAACGGCAGAGCCGATCTGTAAAATAAAATCAGTCGATTTATTGCAAGAAAACACACAAGTGAACTAACAATCTAGTTATTTTATTTGCATCTTGCAGCGATCAGCAAGCTGACAATCCAGCTGATGGAAATTAGCAACCGTCGCCTTTAGGCGTAAAGAGCATTTCCTACATAACGGAACAGGTATTCTGAGAAGCTCATCCTGAATCCTGAAGATTGAATGTTATCTCTCACAGTAACTTTTTTTTTTACCACGCAGGGGGCAAACGAGCATGCGGCCCACCTGATGGTAAGTGACTACCGCCGCCCATAATCACCCACAACACCAGCGGCATTGCAGGTGTGCTGCTGGCCTTTTAAAAAGGAATATACTCTTTTTTTGAAGGTTATGTTGTCGTATCGGTTCGGAAATACTGCTGCTGGAAGTTGATTCCAAAGAATGGTTGTGCGTGAAAGAAAGTGTCTTGAAAAACGCACGGTGGAGAACCGCCACTCGTCCAGATGGTTGGGATGAAACTTTAGTTTGTGGCGGGTTGTACGGTAGTGAAAATCAGCAGCAAGTATTAAACTTTTAGTTTTTTGTCGTTTTCAGACGTTACAGATTTGAATAGGTCTTTTATTGTTATATCAGCTGTAAATTGTCCACTGTTGAACAAGAACTTTCCTCATAAAGGGACCCTTGCAAATAGTTACCATGCTTGGCAGGCTACTTGACAAACGCAGTTAGGCTTTTGTAAAGTTTTAAGAGGGATACTGCTCCTCATCTCTCGACCATTAAGTTCTCTTAATCATCTCTTACGATACGACACGAAAGGAAAGGGTTTTTTTTTTAATGGGTGATAATGGAATGGTAACCCCACCCGCGCTATCGGTATACACCGGCGGGGCACCAGTGAAGGGTGATAGGTGAGGATGAAGCAGGTCAGTTAGCCCATCATGATGAATTCAACAAGAATTGTTCACGACGGTTTCCAGGGGGAACCACGTGGAGGATTATTAGCAATGGGGCTAAACTACATTTCTAATAATCCCTTTTTTTTATACTACTTAGAATGGCAAACAAGCTGACGGCCCACCTGATGGAAAGTAGTAACCGTCGCCTATAGACATAAGCAGTACCATGGACATAATAGAGTATACTGTTTCACCCATGATACCCCCCATGCGTTGCCATTCCTGAGGACTCAGGTGTTATTCCTCTGTACCCAGTAAATTCACGCCATATCCCATCCTTCAAACCGAAACACAGTTATGCAAACACAACTGCTTCACGGTTGAAACACGAATGGGACAGAGGTACCCAAGCAATCGACTTTTCCCTTTTCGTGGGGGGGGGGCACCCCCCGAAAGGAAAGGGTGGTTCGTTCTATGCCGGAACCACATGGAAATTCAATTTACAGGACGCTAATGTTATTAATAATAATGACCGTATGGTCCCGGCTTAGAAGAGACCGCCCCTTCTGTTCTTGTGGGTGTCGTAAGTGTCGACTAAGGGAGGGCGAGGAATGGGTTGAAGCATTACTCTTAAATCATCTTTAAAGCCTTACGGTGGTTGCCAATTCGCCTGTTAAACACGGCAGCTACTGGAAAGGCTTATGGGCAGCAGTGGGTAGTTAAAGACTGGCATGATGATGACAATGAATGATATCAATAGTGCGATGATGATGCGTTATGATTAATTCTAATATAAAACGATGATAGTAATAATAATAGTATATTACCAGAGCGAGAAGCAGTGCGAACCTCATGTTGGCAAACTTGGTGAATCTCTTGCGGATGTCTCCAAAACTTATGGAAAAATTTCCGCTCGCACCTTTAATATACCGACTGTAACAATGAGTCTGACGCAGTTGGCATTATGTTTGTTTGTTGAATTGTATTGATAATATATTAAATATTAATGTAAATAAATAGGCTTTTAAATCTACTGTATGTACCTCGAGTAAACAAGTAGGCTTATGTATGTATATCTATATAAAAATAAAAGGTATTCTGTCCGTTGTTTTATAGTAGATAAAAAAGCATTGAATGTCATTGAATGTACACATGCTCCTTTCTTAAGGGATCAGCTTTAAGAAAGCTTCATATGTACTCAATCTTAAATACGCCAATGAGCATATGTTCCATGATTAACATTTCAGTTCGCTACTAAGAACTAATATAAAATTTTAGATTTTCGCATTGCATGGTTTATGGGTTTTTACCTTTTACCTGCAACTTCGTCCGCGCGATCAGGATATGTTTACTGACCGGGTTAAAATGTTGTCTATATCCTTCTCCAATACATATAATAGTGTATGCCAAATTTCGTAGTGGTCAGTTAAGTCGTTACGGTGCTATAAAGTAACAAACAAACTCTCTTTCAATATTTATTTATCTTATATATAAAATTCTCGTGTCGCGGTGTTTGTTACCAAACTCCTCCGAAACGGCTTTACCGATTTTTATGAAATTTTGTGTGCATATTGGGTAGGTCTGAGAATCGGCCGACATCTATTTTTTATACTCCTCAATGATAAGGGTGACCTTCCCCAAAAATTTTTTTTTTTATTTTTTTAACAAATTTTTCCATTTTTATTTTATTATGATTTAGCTTTGAAAAATATATACAACCTCAAATTTTCACCGTTTTACGATCAACGCCTGTTTGTAAATCGCTATTTTTATATTCCGCAATAGGGTTGCAAGATGGCAATCGAATATAATAATTGTAGTAGAATAAATTTTCATGTATAGTTCTCGAAATAATGTATATGGTAAAACAACGTTTACCGAGTCAGCTAGTTTATTTATAAAAGACACACCAACAATGTGCTCACAACAATTAAGCAGACAATATACAATGTTATTAGTAAGTAAAAGTGAAAAACTACTATTAAAAAATGCTTAAATCTAAGTTTGAACGAAAACATCTCACTGCTCACTACCAAGCTTAAGGCCATATGAACACATCAATTAAAGGTGTATACAGCTCTCACAGACAAGCGTCAATACTAAGTAACAATTATACAATTAGAGAAGACCTAATTACTAATCCATATTATTAATAAGCCTAGTAAACTCCACTAAAGAATTACCAAAGATGTCAAAATCATTATCAACGTTTACGGCTTTATTATAGGTGTTAACATTCTGTTGAGGGGAGAATTGAATCCTAAGTACGACAAGCTCATGTTGAAAATGTGTTAACTATTTTAGCAGTTCTAATATTGAAATTACGTGGTACTATCAAGCGTATATCCTTAACAACGTCAGGTATCAAAATAAGGCCATTTAAAATCTTGAACAACATTATAAGATCTATAACCTTTCTACGCTGACTCAGTGACTTCATCCCGAAGAATTCCAGACGATCAGTATAAGATGCAGTTATTGGACATAATTTAACTTTGTAGGCCAAGTAACGTATGAAACCTCTTTGCACTCTCTCAATACGATCGATAAGACATTGATATTGGGGATTCCATATCAGAGAAGCATATTCAAGTGTACTGCGGACGTATGCGTTATAGAGTATTTTGATTGGCCTAACACCTCTAAATTCTTTACAAGTTCGTTTAATATTGGTTAGGATAAGGTACGAGAATTAACCATTTAGTTAAACTGTGATAATACTAGTAAGAGAAAGTGACCACGGTCAGTGTAACACGGTCAAAACGTCGAAATAACCTAAGTGAATTGTTATAAATTACTAAATAATTGTATGGATTCCTGTCTCTCATCTATATCTGTAAATAAATTATTATATTATCTCTGTTTATACTAATATTATTAAGAAAATGGATTTGATTGTTTGTTTATTTCTAATTGTTGAAAACTGTGATAATTGCGATGCAAATGCGGCTAAACTATCATATATTTATAAGGACGACGAGATAAGTAAAATACATATTATGTTTTCAACATCCATTCTTACTAAATTTGAATAGAATCCACAGAATGCATTATATTTTTAATAGTAAAAAAGTATAAGTGGCCAGTACGTGCAATAATAAAAAGAGTTCATTTTTACATATTGAATCTGCAACATTAATACACAAACCCGAAAACTAGTCTATCGCTTTCCTTCTTTCACCAATAGAAAGCTATATTGTCAGGATTCACAGTTAGTTAAATCACGTTAAGTTAGTTGTAAAATAACGTTCACACTAAACAGTCTGTACTGACTTTAACATTTTTTCATTATTATTACTAAAAACTTATTCGTTCAATCTCTGATTCTCCCCATCCTTGATTATGGTGATGTCTGCTGCACGAACATGAATGAAGACCTCTTAAATAAATTGGGTCGTCTTTTCAATAATAACATACGTTTCATTTTTAGTCTTCGTAAGTATAACCATGTCTCTCCTTATTCCCTTAAGTGACTTCCTATCCGACAATGTAGTTTTGATGGGTGAAAATGGTATGGTAACCCCGCCTGCGCTAACGGGATACGCTGGCGGAGCACCAGTGAAGGGTAATAGATGAGAATGAAAACAGGCCAGTTAGCCCATCATGATGAATTCATCAGGAATTAACCATGATAGTTTCCAGGGAGAACCGCGAGGAGGCCGACCTGGTTGGGTATATTGCTAGCAATAGGATTCTCAGTCTCCATTACTAACACTCCCTTTCCCCCCAACAATGTACAGTTATTCGCATATAGTGTACTTTTCGTTCTATTGTATTAGATTCAATTATATTCAATCCAAATTTTAATCTCATAGGAATATTTCCAGAGGGAGATTTTGCACAAAACTCGGTGCTTGAGTACTTCTGTCCTATTCATGTTTCAACCGTGAAGCATTTGTCTTTGCATGACTGTGTTTCGGTGTAAAGGGTGGGATATGGCTGTGAATTTACAAGGTATAGAGGAATGCAACGCATAGGGGGCATTTTAGGCGAAACAATATACTCTGTTATGTCCATGGTACTGCTCATGTCTATAGGCAACGATTACCACTTCCCATCAGGTGGGCCGTCAGCTTATTTGTCATTCTCGTCGCATAAAAAATACCAATAACTAACTTCGTCCTTGCAGGAAACTTCTTCTTCACGTACCTGCTCTCTTACTCTCTCTCTCTCTCTTACTCTTACTGTCTTCATTTCTTATTTCTTTGCCAATCAGGCTACTACACACTAAAACGCCTTCTTGGTTCAGTGGTAGAGAACACCATCTGGTGTTAAGCTCATCAAATATACATACATTAAAGTTTGAATTAAAGATGATGATCAATTTGATGCCCACAGCAACTTTCTACCATCGTACGGCTCGCCATTGACAGGCAGTTCATCCTCATGTCCTACAGCCTCAATGGTCGCGTACTGCGCGGTTTCAGAGATGTTTCCTCCCACGAACACTCAGGTTGTGGAATGAGCTCTCTGCCGAGGTTTTCCCAAGAGACTACAGCATGGGGTTCTTCAGAAGGGGGATAAAGAGGTTTCTTCAGGGTCGGCAACGCACGCGTAATGCCTCTGGTATTGCAGGTGTTCATAGGCTACGGTAACCACTTACCATCAGGTGGGCCGTATGCTTGTTTGCCACCTCAGTGGTATAAAAAAGAAAAAGTTTAAATAGGCTAAATTTTATCTTTGAAAATTCTGTCTTTATATATATGTGATTTATATGTGAAGTCGGGCCGAAATGTAAAGATATACCATTATATACCATCGGATTGTAAATCATAGACTAATATAGAAAGAATGCTGTTGCCACCTGTGCAGCTACGAACCTGGATAATAATGTAGAAAACAAGAATATCCATATTCCAAACGACAAGTGGCTATTAAAGCACTTGTATCAACAAGAGTGAATTCAGGGCTAACATTGAATACCATTTAAAACTTCAATTATTTGGGTGGCTGTAATGCAGTCAGTTTGATATGAGCCCCTGGAAATATAAGGATTAAAGGTAATGAAAAATTCGAAGAGTTGACGAAAGGAACTGAATCAAAAATTACAGGTCCTGAACCATTTGTCACGCTTGCATCAAGTGTTGTTAACCACGTCCCTGAGGAGTATGCGAGAATGAAACAGCAAAAGGAATTGGGAAAATTTAAAGGTCTCAAACTTTACATAATGTTTTTAAACAAAAGTCTGAAGGATGAAGTAAACTCGTCTATATTGGAGATAGATAACATACAAAACTCATAAAGGGTGCCTTAACTGGACACATGTCATTAGTATTCGATGTGTTTGCAACCTTAACATCTAGAGTCCTTAAACATATAGAGATTAAAGGTAGGATAAAAGCCGATGTGTTGGAAAGAAATCGAATTAAATAAAAAAATATAAAATTAGGTTCTGAAATATTTGTCGCACTTGCACCAAGCGTCGTTAACTATGCCCCTAAGGAGTAAGCGATATTAAAACCGCAAAAGGAATTGATAAAATACTGATCTTAAGCTTTCTAGAAAATTCTTTAATAACAAGGCTGAAGGGTGGGATGAACTCATTTACATTGGAGGCAGACAACAGGCAAGACCATTTACCAGTTAAGGCACCTATTACGAATAGGTGCCTTAACTGGACACATATCGGTAAAACGTTCGAGTGTTTACAGCCTTATCATAGACATGTACAAGTGTCCAAAACTCGCATACCTACCTATCTATATATGACCTTGGTAGTGGAAGAAAAGCATAAAAGCCCCAATACCAGCAACATACCTCTGAAAACCATCGTAGTTAATTTTTGTTGAATTCGTCACGATAGACCAAGCGATTTGCTTTCATCTTCACCTATCATCCCTCATTAGTGCCCATTACAAAAAAGATCTTAGTGATATAGCGGTTTAACATACTACCTTACCTACCGACTATACAAATATTTTTATTCATGACTTCATCTCTGATAATGGGTGCCTTAACTGAATACATGCTGTTAAGGTATATACTAAACAAAATGGCTCTGTCTTTGAAAACACTGTGCAGATTGTGCAGTGAGGAATCAGAATCCATGGAACACCTGATGTGCAATTGAATGATTTTTCCACCTAGATCATTGTCGGCATCGCTGAAAATCCTATGAGAACCTAAATGTACTTTTTTTTAGGGTGAGGATAAAATGGTAACCCTGCCTGCGCTTTCGGTATACGCTGGCAGGGTACCAGTGAAAGGTGACAGGTGAGGATGAAGGCAAGTCAGTTGGCCCATAGTGGACAATTGAACAAGAATTAACCACTATGGTTTCCAGGGGGAATCGCGTGAAGGTCGACCTGATAGGGTATATTGATAGCAATGGGGTTGTTAAATCTCATTATTAATAATCCCTTTCCACCCACCTAAATATATTGAACTGTAGAATTCCTTTGAAATTATAAAATTTGAAAAATATAAGCAGCTTTTCATAAGGAATTACTATACCTACCATCGTACGGCTCGCCATCGACAGGAAGTTCATCCTCATGTCCTACAACCTCAATGGTCGCGTACTGCGCGGTTTCAGAGATGTTTCCTCCCGCGAACACTCAGGTTGTGGAATGAGCTCCCTGCCGATGTTTTCCCAAGAGACTACAGCATGGGGTTTTTCAAAAGGGGGGTAAAGAGGTTTCTTCAGAGTCGGCAACGCACGCGTAATACCTCTGGTATTTCAGGTGTTCATAGGCTACGGTAACCACTTACCATCAGGTGGGCCGTACGCTTGTTTGCCACCACAGTGGTATAAAAAAAAAGAGAGATCGCAAAATCCTGATAGCACATTTCGATAGCGTGTCCTGAATCTTATTATTAATACAACTCCTGACTCCTAATTAAATGACTGACTTTACAATATAAGTTAATGTTATCATATTTTTACCAGAGGGAGACGTTGTACAAAAGTCGATTGCTTGGGTCTGTCCTCTTCGTGTTTCTACCGTGAAGCAGTTGTGTTTGCATGGCTGTGTTTCGGTTTGAAGGGTGGGATATGGCGTGAATTTACTGGGTGTAGAGAAATAGCGTCTTAGTCCTCAGGAATGGCAACGCATGGGCGGTATCATAGGCGCAACAGTATACTCTGTTATGTCCATGGAGACTGCTCATGTCTATAGGCGACGGTTACCACTTTCCGTCAGGTGGGCCGTCAGCTCGTTTGCCATTCTGAGTTGTATAAAAAAAAAATTAATCATACAATGAAATATTAATCAATACAAACGCAATGTGAACCCTCCACTAGATGGAGTGACGACCTCAAATGCAGGGATGCAGTGAATGCAGGTCGCTCAGGGCCGTTTCTTGTGGCAGTCTATGGTGGGTGGCCTATGTTCAGCAGTGGACAGATAATGATGATGATATATTAAAATTATATTTGATAAAAATTTTATGATACTGTATATGTTATGATCAGGCGACAGAGGAATAACACCTGAATCCTCAGGAATGGCAACGCATGGGGGGTACAGTATGTGTACAGAAACAGTATACTCTGTTATGTTCATGGTACTGCTCATGTCTATAGGCGACGGTTACCACTTTCCATCAGGTGGGCCGTCAGCTTGTTTGCCATTCTAAGTTGTACAAAAAAAAAATTGTCCGCAGTAAAGGCATAATTGTAGTGTGTTTCCCATCTTTATCACCATCAACTCTTGAATATAGGCCTCCTATATTTTTGTACAAATACTTATCAATTTCAAAAGTACCGTTTTTTTACTATTAGAACAAGCCGATTATCGACTACTAACCGTAAGCATATTTGCTTATATATATTTGTGATATATTTGTCATCATCCGTTTAGCATATCAGCCGTTAATTGTCTACTGTTAGTGCCTTCACCTAATTGTAATCTTAAGGAGTCATTTATAAATATAAAAACACCTAATTTTGGTCAAAATATTCTTGTTTGTAATAGTTTCGACGTTTATTTATATAATTAAGCTTGTTAACTCAAAAATGTTTAAGAAATAGCACAAAATACTTCGCCAAGGACTAATCTTAAATCTCGGAATTTCAATTCGTTGGAAGAGTTTAGCTTAATTGGTTAAATAGTTTGAAAAACAGTAACACCACCATGCATATCACAGGATACGATTTCTACTATACCATTCCTAAAGAATACAGTTTTGGTGCCTCTGTACCCTCTAACTCCATTGCTTTATCCCTTGAAATGGGAACACAACCATACAGCAGAGTCATACGAGGGACCAAAACAGACGGTATCCTCTATTTTCAAGGTATCCTAATACTAAAATATCTAACTCTTAAAAAAAAAAACAATAAATTAATAATGAACATTTATTGACAGAAATTGAAAAAAAAGAACAAAAGAAAATATCTGTATTTATATTAAATTAACTTTGAGGAAACAAATAATAAACAGTATTTGCTGTACTATGTTTGACACTACGTACTATGATATTTGAGAATGGATACAGTTCACAGACATTGCAATTTATTATAAAGTTAACACAACTTCGGTACTTTAACATGATTTCCGCTGTAACATGGATGGTCCGCTTCATTAAACTGAGTATCTGGACAAAGTCAGATGTTGAGTGATACATTGGCTCTACAGAAAAACAACGCAAGCGAGTTCTCTACAAAACTAAGACTGTCGTTCCATATTGAATAGACGGATTAACTCTTTTATGAACATGATAGAAGTCAATAAAATAGTTTAGCGTCACTTAAGCTGAATATAATGGATACTTATCTTTGGAGTTATCGTTTTATTCCTCGTTAGAAACCCAGTTGAAGTCTCTATCGCTAGAACTATTATATCAATCACAATAGTGATCACTATTGTAATTGCTGATGCGTTTCATTAGAAGTTTTGGTTCTCAAATTGTTTTAATTACTGCCGGAAACAGTGTTAGAAATACCGTTTTTGTATAAACTAGGAGCTGTATTGATTGATTTATCATAATGGCCAAGGTTGCTGAGTATAAACCGGTGTTTATACCACTGGTGTTACCGGAACGCCGCTGGAATATAAACCGGAGTTTACACCGTTTGAGACACTGGTTCTCTCATAGCCGTTGGAGTATAAACCGGAGTTTACACCGGTTGCGATACCGGATCTCTCATAGCCGTTAGTGAAACCGGAGCTTACACCGGTTGAGCTAACGGATCTGCGAAGGCCGTAGTTGTATAAACCGGAATTTAAGCCATTTGCGATACCGGTAGTGCCAAGGCCGTTAGGGTATAAACCGGAATTTAAGCCACTTGCGATACCGGTAGTGCCAAGACCGTTAGAGTATAAACCGGGGTTTACACCGCTTGAGACATCAGCAGCGTTAACACCGGTGGAATATAAACCGGGATATAATCCGTTTACGTAACCAGTTCTTTCAAGAGTGTTGGTGTATGAATCGATGCCTGTACTGCCCAAGACACCGTTGCTGCCTAAGCCGCCATATCCTGCAAAATATTCAATACACATTAATTTCAATAAAATAGAATTATAATTTCAAAATAATTAAGAAACATGTCGTCATGAAAATAGATAGGATAGATTATTATTCTGCAAACAAGAATCCGTTTGTATTTCTTTTATGTAATTTAGAATGGCAAACAAGCTGACAGTCCACCTAACGGAAAGTGGCAGTCGTCGCCTATAGATGTATTTGCATTTTACATCTGAACTTGAGTCAGAGGCTGCAATGCCGTCTACCATGCTAGATACTATAGAGACTCCTATTGCACCTATCTCTCCTTCTAATGCAGCAACACCCAGCACTCACAGAATTTCCATTAGCAAAATCCAATTCAGCTTCACTTGGTACCAATTCTAGTTTAGATTCCAGTGTCAACTCCCAATATAGATAATGCTTTAATATTACCTAAGTTGCTAACTCCTGCTGGATATACACCATTAAGTCCATTTACACCTAAACCGGTAGCTCCCTCTACTCCACCGGCTACTTCCCCGCCAATATCTGTTGGCAAAACAAAATTGCAGATTGAGATATATTTTCCTTCACTTGGGTACTAGCTTAAAAATCCAAGTGTCCTTGTCCAAATCCTTCAGTAATTCATTCAATATTTCACATTATCATATTTTACCCGACTGTAAAATGAAAAAGAAAATTAATAATATGGTCAGATTTTGTTCTGCCTTGTGGTCCTATATAAAAATAAGCTACCACATCCTTTACCATGGTTGTCTTAAGAGACAACTAAGGAATTTTACTGATTAAGAAGGCAGTGCGAGAAGGGGAGAGGGGCAACAGCGTCCTTCTTGAAATATCGCCAAAGCAAAAGGCAACTATGGGCAAAATCCTCCAAGAGGGAGGTCTAGCCTGGTCAATTAGAATAAATTATGTTATGAGAAATAAGGCAACGAACATTCAGGGGAACCGCCCAGAACATCCAGATCCAAGCCAATTTTTTTTAATGGATTATAATGGAGTAATAACCTTGCCTGCGCTATCGAAGGCTAACAGTGGCAGCAAGTCAGTTAGTCCATCATGACGAATTTAACAAAAAGTCAATCACAATGGTTTCCATCAGGAATACAAATGAGGTCGATCTGATTAGGTATATTGCTAGCAGTGGGTTGCTAACTTCTATTTTTCCGACCCAAGCCAATTTACTAAAATTCGTTACTAACTTAGCTCGATCAGGAGACAAATTCGAAATGTCATTTACGCAAACGAGAATCCCGTGACGCAGTGGTGGTTTGCGTAAATGCGTCATTAGAAATCAATTAAATGTAAATGAGTTAATCAATTCAGATGTAGGTAGGCACTTACCAGAGACTAATGGGGAGCAAACGGCAGAGCCGATCTGTAAAATAAAATCAGTCGATTTATTGCAAGAAAACACACAAGTGAACTGACAATCCAGTTCTTTTATTTGCATCTTGGAACGGTCAACAAGCTGACGGTCCAGCTGATGGAAAGTGGCAACCATCGCCTATAGTTAAGCTAAATCCTGAAGATTAGATGTTATTTCTCACAGTAATTTTACTTTGACCTTTCGTCAGTTTATTGTTGTTTTCAAACGATATAGGTTTTAAAAGGTCTTTTATTATTATTTCAGCCGTTAACTGTCAATTTTTGAACAAAAACCTCCTCCATAAAGGGAGTTTCGCCAGTAATCAACAAGCTTGACAGGGAGGTTTGCAACCGCAATTAGGCTTTGGTAATGTTTTAAGAGAGACGCTGCTGCCCATCCTTTAACCATTAAGTTCTCTTAGTTGCCTCTCATGATACCCACGGGAAAGAAATAGGTAATTCGTTCTATGCCGGAACCATACGGGCTAAAGGTCTTATGGTCATAAATGGTCTTTGAAAGAAATATTCAGTACCGCTAGTAGAAATTCAGTTCATAGAAAGCTAAAATGATATTAATAATAAAGGCGTTGTGGTTCTGGCATAGAATAGGCCACCCCTTTCTTTCTCGTGGGTGTCGTAAGAGACAATTAAGGGAGGGCGAGGAATGGGTAGGAGTGTTCCTGTTAAAACATCTCTAAAGCCTAACTGGGGTTGCCAATCCGCCTGTTAAGCGTTGCAACTTCTGGAAAAGCTTATGTAATTAAGTGGATAGTTGAAGGCGTGTACGATGATGATGCGCTATGATAAATTTAAATATAAAATGATGATAGTAATAATAATAGTATATTACCAGAGCGAGAAGCAGAGCGAACCTCATGTTGGCAAACTTGGTGAATCTCTTGCGGATGTCTCCAAACTTATGGAAAAATTTCCGCTCGCACCTTTAATATACCGACTGTAACAATGAGTCTGACGCAGTTAGCATTATGTTTGTTTGTTGAATTGTATTAGTAATATATTGAATACTAATGTAAATAAACAGGCTTTTAAATTTACAGTATGTACCTCAAGTAAACAGGCAGACTTATGTATGTATATCTATATATAATCAAAGGTATTCTGTCCGTTGTTCTATAGTAAATAAAAAAAGGATTGAATGTCTTAGTGTACACATGTTGCTTTCTTAAGGGATCAGCTTTAAGAAAGCTGCATATATACTTAATCTTAAATACGCCATTGAGCATATGTTCTATGATTAACGTATCAGTTCGCTACTAAGAACTAAGGAACTACTAGTTTTTTTTAGAATGGCAAACAAACTGACGATCCACCCGATGGAAAGTGGTAACCGTCGTCTATAGCCTTATGGCTACTGCTTATGCAGTACCATGGACATAATAGAGTATACTGTTTCGGCCATGAAACCCCCCATGCGTTGCTATTACTGAGGACTCAAGTGTTATTCCTCTGTATCCTGTAAATTCACTGCCATATCTCACCCTTCAAACCGAAACACAGCCATGCAAACACAACTGCTTCACGGTAGAAACACGAATGAGGCAGAGGTGCACAAGCAAACTACTTTTGAGTAAAGTCTTTCTCTGGTCAAAACAACTACTAGAAACTAGTAACACATTAAAGTTCCAATTTTTGCGTTGAATGGTTTATGGTTTACTAGCTTTTACCAGGGATTATCTCCATGTCACCGGGTTAAAAAGTAGCCTACATCTTTCTCCATTCTCTATAGTTGGAGTCAAATTTAATAGTGATCGGTTAAGACGTTACGACGCTATAAAGTAACAAACAAACATACTTTTTCATTTGTAATATTAGTAAGACTAAGATTCCCAAAGAGGGTTGACGTCAGGCAGGCGGCTGGTCGTAAAACTATAGTATAAGCCAAATCCTTTAGTAATATGGATAAAGCTATATTACGCCGACCTCAAATAATAATTGGGATAAGAGAAGGAAGGTGATGTAAGGATAAGAGACAGGAATTAATGCGAGCATTTAGACAAACTGTGATAATAAGAGGAAGTTATGATAGCACTTTCCGTGTGGTCCAGGCATAGAATAGTTTTCTCCCACGAACACTCAGGTTATGGAATGAGCTCCCTGCCGAGGTTTTCCCAAGAGACTACAGCATGGAGTTCTTCAAAAGGGGAGTGAAGAGGTTTCTTCAGGGTCGGCAACGCGCGCGTAATATCTCTGGTATTGCAGGCGTTCATAAGCTACGGTAACCGCTTACCATCAGGCCGTATGTTTGTTTGCCACCTCAGTGGTATAAAAAAAATAGGCTACTCCTTCCATTCTAGTGAGTGTCGTAAGAGACGACTAAAGAAGCTTATGGTGGAAGGATGAGCGACAGCATTCCTTTTAAAATATATTTATGAGTACTTCTGTGAAAATGGATAACTTCCATGCCAGTATGGTGTATACTACACAAGAGGCTCTATCTTTGAACACGCTGTGCAGATTGTTCAGCGAGAAATCAGAATTCATGGAGCACCTAATGTGCAATTGAATCATTTTTCCATCCAGATTTTAGGACAGATCTCTAAAATCCGAAAATCCTTTAGGAACCTAAATGAATTGAGCTGAAGTATTCTTTTAAGAGTTTAAGCCTCTTAAAAACCAAAAGACCTTAATGGTCAATGGACGGGAAGGACCTAACTGCGATTGCAAACTCGCTTGCCAAACGTAGCAGCTACGGGCAAACCTCTTATAGTGGGATTTATGTTCAGCAATAGATTGTTAACGGCTGTAATGATGATGATGATGATTCTTTTAAAAAAAATATAAGCAGTTCTTCATAACGCAACATTATTACACTCGTAATGTATATAAATTACCCTAAGGTTGTCTTGAAAAGATCGCTCTCAGCAATAAGACCGCCTTACTGTACTTATACAATTGTATCGTTGTGTTTGTAAATTGTCTTGCTTATTCCTTATATTGTATAATGCAAATAAAGTATACTCATTCATTCATTTGTATTTTGTAAGAGTAGTAAGTTCCTGATCTCACATTTCGACTGCATGTCCTGAACTCTACGAGTATTTTTAATACAAATCCTTCTATTGACTCCTAATTAGATGACTGACTTTACAATATGAGTTAATCTTATTATATTTACTGGTACTTATACAATTGTATCGTTGTGTTTGTAAATTGTCTTGCTTATTCCTTATATTGTATAATGCAAATAAAGTATACTCATTCATTCATTCATTCATTTGTATTTTGTAAGAGTAGTAAGTTCCTGATCTCACATTTCGACTGCATGTCCTGAACTCTACGAGTATTTTTAATACAAATCGTTCTATTGACTCCTAATTAGATGACTGACTTTACAATATGAGTTAATCTTATTATATTTACTGGTACTACGAAATATTAAATATGAAATATTACCAGAGGGAAACCGCCTTACCGTACTTATACAATTGTATCGTTCTGTTTGTAAATTGTCTTGCTTATTCCTTATATTGTATAATGCAAATAAAGTATACTCATTCATTTATTCATTCATTTGTATTTTGTAAGAGTAGTAAGTTTTGGTTTGGTCATTTGGAGAGGATGGATGAAAGAAGAATTACGAAAGAGATTTATCGAGCAAGAATGAATGGAGATGTCGGTAGGGGCTGCCCTAGACGGACGTATGTCGACCAAATAGGCGACGTGCTGAAGAAGGGCCAAATTAAAAGTACCCGTAACCGGCGAGCGTGTATGACAAGATTGATGAATGTGGAAGAAGCGAAAGAGGTTTGTTTGAATCGAAGCATTTGGCGTTCCATTGTTTCTGCCTACCCTAATGGGAGACAGGCGTGACAGATATGTATGTATGTATGTAGTAAGTTCCTGATCTCACATTTCGACCGCATGTCCTAAACTCTACGAGTATTTTTAATACAAATTCTTCTATTGACTCCTAATTACTTTGCAATATGAGTTAATCTTATTATATTTACTGGTATTATGAAATATTAAATATGAAATATTACCAGAGGGAGACTTTGTACAAAAGTCGATTGCTTCGGTACCTCTGTCCCATTCGTGTTTCAACCGTGAAGCAGTTGTGTTTTGCATGGCTGTGTTTCGGTTTGAAGGGTGGGATATGGCAGTGAATTTACAGGGTACAGAGGAATAACACCTGAGTCCTCAGGAATGCCAACGCGTTGGCGAAAACTGTCCGACTTGACCCACTGAAACTGCGCAGAGATGTTGCATCTCTGTGCATCTTCTACCGAATTTATCATGGGGAGTGTTCTGAGGAATTGTTCGGATTGATACCTGCTGCTGATTTTCACCACCGTACAACCCGCCACAAACTAAAGTTTCATCCCAATCATCTGGACGAGTGAAGTAAAAAAAAAAAAAAACAGTATACTCTGTTATGTCCATGGTACTGCTCATGTCTATAGGCGACGTTTACCACTTTCCATCAGGTGGACTGTCAGCTTGTTTGCCATTCTAAGTTGTATAAAAATATATATATATTTGATACACATCCATGTGTGTATCATGATTAAGCGATGAAACATACTGTAATTATGCCTATACTACGAAAGGCATTTTTTTTTTCAAGTGAGGCGTCAGGTTGTTTGCCATTCTAAGTTGTATAAAAAAAAATATTAGGTTATAACAAATTTGTAACATATTGTGCGGACTTAACCCTTAAAGGGATTTAGATTTCATTTTATTATTCTTTCATAAATTTTATCACCATTAACATTATATCGACCGTTAATTGTCCACTTTTGAACATAAGTCTTCCCCTTGGGGAGTTTTGCCATTAGTTGCCACGATTAGCAGGCGGGTTGTCAATTGTTTAGGCTTTGGTGATATTTCAAGATGGACGCTACTGCTCATTCCTCGATCATTAAGTTCCCTTAATCACGACAGCCACAGGAAAGGAAGGGTTGGCTCATTCTATACCGGAACAACAGGGTTATAAATTTTGTGATAGTAAATAATTCAGCAATTTCAGTGGCTTAAATTATAGATTTTTTTAAAGATATAAGATATATATATATATATATATATATATATATATATATATATATATATATATATATATATATATATATATATATATATATATATATATATATATATAAAATACATATATATATAAGATATATGTATTTTGATGTGGTATATCCAATTTATACATTTATTTATATATATATATCCCGTGTAAAAAAGACGTTTATTTCTTTATTTTATACTTTATTGCACCAAGTAAAAAAAAATACAGTAAATATTAATGAGAAGTGCTACAAAAGGCGGCCTTATTGCTTACAATCTCTTGCAGACAACCTTTGGGTAAAGGACATTGAGAAAAAGAAAAATAGAAACATATATATATATATATATATATATATATATATATATATATATATATATATATATTTACCATTAAGGTGTATGTGAGCGCAATTTTGGTATTGACAGGGAGGAAATTAGGTAACCATGACACAGTGTTATCAAAAATAATGCCAAGATATATTACTTTTTTTCTGGTAATCTATTAAAATTTCATTAAAAATTACAAGCGGAAGATTGTTTAAGAAAATTCTTGTGTTTTTAATGAGTCATTTATTACTGTAAAAGCTCCCAATTATGGTTAAAATATTTATTGATTATTAGAGTAATTAAATACCTAGTTTATTCGAGTCAGTACTCGAGACAGCCTGACACAATTTACTAAAATTATAATAAGGACATTCTAAAAGTAAATGTGTATTAAAAAGTATAATAATATGTAGAGTTTGCATTGGCTGGTCGTCAATAGTATTAACGTTTATTTATATGATTGAAAATGTTCAAGAAACAGAACAGAATTCTTCCTGTGATAAATGCAGAGCTATTCCCGAGAACTAATCTTAGACCTCAGAAGTTAAATTGATTTTTTCAATCTTAAGTTTAGTTTAATTAGTTAAATAATTTGAAAAACAGTAATAGTTCTATGCATGTCACAAAATACAATTTCTACCATACCCCTTACATATAGTCATTCCTAAAGAATGGAATTTTGTGTCTCTGTACCCTCTAACTCCATTGCTTTATCCCACTTTTGAAATCGAATCGAAGCACGGTGTCATGCGAGAAATCACAAACAGATCCAAACCGTACAGAAAATTTCACTCAAAAAACTCAAGGTATCCTAATATTTAAAGATTAAACTCTTTTAAAAAGTAATAATAAAAAACGAAAAATTTGTAATGAGCATTTATTGATAGAAACAGAAAAAAAATTAACAAAAGGAAATATCCTTTTCAATGATCTAAATTGACTTTGAGGAAACAAATAACAAACAGTAATTATTGTACTATAATAGACACTACGTACTATTTGAGAGTAGGAACAGTTCAAAGACATTACAATTCATTAAGTAACATTAAGACAACTTCGGTACTTTAACATGATTTCCGCTATAATATGGATGGTCCGATTCATTGAACTGAGCATCCGAACAAAGTCAGAGATTGAGTAATATAATGGCTCTACAAAAAAACAACGCAAGCGAGTTTCCTGCAAAACTATAACTATCGTTCCATACTGACTAGACGAATTGTTGCTTTTCTGTTTGTCATCACTTGAGCTGATTGTAGTGGATACCCATCTTCGAAGTTATCGCTTTATTTCTCATTAGAAATTCAATTAAAGTCTCCATTGCTAGAACTATTTGAACTCCTATTAGAATTGTTGCTTGCGTTTGGATCGGAGGTTCTATAGATTGAGCTGTTTTCCTTACTGTCGAAAGCACTGTTAGAATTGACGTTTCAATATGAACTGGAGCCTGTATCGCTTGAGCTATCGATTCTACATTTTTCATTGCTTGAAGTATTAGAATTGTTGTTTGAAGTGCTTTTGGAATCACTGCTGATATTGCTTCTTGAGTTTGAATCGATGTTTCCATTGATGGAGTAATTTTAATTACTGTAGGAAACACTGACAGAATTTCCGTTTTAGAATTAATCGGAGTAGGAGTCGGAGTTTGCGTTGCTTGAGCTACCCGAACTGCCAAGGCCGTCGGAGAAGGAACCGGAGTTAGCACCGCTTGAGCTACCGGAACTGCCAAGACCGCTGGAGAATGAACCGGAGTTGGCGCCACTTGAGCTACCTGAACTGCCAAGGCTGCTGGAGTATGAATCGGAGTTTGCATCGCTTGAGCTACCTGAACTACCAAGGCCGCTGGAGAAGGAACCGGAGTTTGCATCGCTTGAGCTACCTGAACTACCAAGGCCGCTGGAGAAGGAACCGGAGTTTGCATCGCTTGAGCTACCTGAACTACCAAGGCCGCTGGACACGGAACCGGAATTAGCACCGCTTGAGCTACCTAAGACGCCAAGGCCGCTAGAGGATGAACCGGAATTGGCACCACTTGAGCTACCTGAACTGCCAAGGCCGCTGGAGGATGAACCGGAGCTAGAACCTCTTGAGCTACCTGAGCTGCCAAGGCCGCTGGAGCTTGAACCACTACTAGAACCACTATTGGAGCTTGAGGCGCCATTTCCTGCAAAATATTGAATACAATTCAATTTCATTTGAATAAACGTATAATTAAAAAAAAAAACTCGAATTAGCTGATTCATGATAGATAAGATAGAATATTTACCGGCAGACAGGAATCCGCTTGCATCGCCAGCTGCCCTTGCGCCTGCATTTGCTGCAGAACCTGCAGCCCCAAAACCTGATTCAGCTCCAATTGAAGCTGCATCCCCAGCTCCGCTGGCAGCTGAAGATATATCAGAGGATGCAGTGTTGCCTGCAATGTTAGCTGCTCTAGAGGCTCCTGATGCACCAACAGATGCAGCATCAGTGGCAGCACCGACAAAGTTGCCACTAGCAACATCGGATGCAGCTTCACTTGCTGCACCGATTCCAGCTTCGATTCCAGTTGAGGCTAAACCAGCACCTCCCAATAAAGATGACGATCCAATATGGCCTGCGGCGCCAGCTCCTGCTTCAATAGCACCTCCGAATCCACCTGCACCTGCACCGATAGCTCCCTCTATCCCTCCGGCTGCATCCCCACCAATGCCTGTTGATATAATGGATTTATAGATTAACTGAAGGTTTTCATTGAGTTAGGTACTGGCTTAAGAATATATACAATAGTATCCTGTGTTAGCTTAGAATAATATGATTGAATTTCATGAATTTTGTTATCTTATTTTTCATGTGGTGCAGAGTAAGAATAAAATAACGACAGGATTAATGGGACAAAACACAGTACACCAGCGCAAGAGAAGGAGATCTTGAAACATAGATGCCTAGTAACATCCTCTTATAACAATGGAGAATCTCTTCAATCAAGATTCAATCGAGAATCAAGGAGGTTCTTATGAAATTTGTGCCAAGTTGTGAGCTATTCAAGTTTTGGCTTTTTATATATATATACCATGAAGCCCAGTATAATTAGATATAATTAAATTAGTCTGTTATAAAATGTAGGCGAATACTTACCAGCGAATGATGGGTAGCAAACGGCAGAGCCGACCTGCAAATAAAAAGATTATGATAATTGTAAGGAAACACATACGAATTAAAGCTGGCCATGTGGTCCCAGCATAGAATAGACCACCCCTTCCTGTCCTGTGGGTGTCGTAAAAGGCGATTAAGAAAGGGCGAGGGATGAGCAGCAGTTTCTCTTAAAACATCTCCAAAGCCTAACTGTGGTTGCTAATCCACCTGCCAAGCGTAGCAACTAATGGCAAATCCCAAAAGAGGGAGACTTATGTTCAGCAGTGGATAGTTAAAGGATGATAATAAAGATGGCATACGAATTAAGGACTTTATCAATTTTTAAACAGTTCGGTAAGACAAACAAGCTAACTGATAGGAAGCGGTAATGATCGTCTATGGTCTTAAAAGACATGGTGGATATCACAGAGTGCACTATCCTTAGCAAATTTATTATTAACAAATAATGAATTAATTATACCAAAATTAGCGGACCTTTCAACTGTGCTTTAAACTTCGAGGTCTGAAGAAAAGCCGATTTCGCTGTAATATGGAAGGAATCTTTTCCAAATACTTTTTGTAAGCATAAACACTTTAAATCTGATCTACAGAATTTTTAAGATAGTGAAGGTAGGTGAAGTCAAAAGATTGCAATGGATCGAAAAGAGACAGGTTTAGAAATAAACTCATAGACGATATGGGATATGATATTCCAAAAGTGCTTAGAGGTTACAGATGTAGTCAAAGCATTTTAGCTTCGGCATTCATTCGAGCGTCAACTCATTGTGATCAAGCACATTGAAAGGATTTTTTCTATGACTCGTGGAGAGGAATTAAACTAACAAAACAGGCTCCTTTCCCATTCAATTAGCTTAATGGTCTCATGAACAAGATTGCGGACATTTAATTTGATCCGGATTATCCAATAATAAAATTTTATTGTATTTAATATTGGTCGTGTGATCCCGTTGTAGAATAGGCCACGCCTTCCTGTGCCGTGGGTGTCGTAAAAGGCGACTAAGGGAGAGCGAGGGATGGGCAGCAGCATCCTTCTTACTCCAAAGCTTAACTACGGTTGCCAATCCGCCTGCCAAGCTTGGCAGCTACTGGCAAAACCCCACAAGTAGGAAACTTATGTGATATTTTATATACTAAGTGATTCCTAAGGGAGCCAAATGGGAAATTGTTTCTTTCTTAGTTGGTAACAAATAAATAAATAAAATTGTCAATTACCAGAGCGAGAAGCAGAGCGAACCTCATGTTGGCGATCATGGTGAATCTCTTGCGGATGTCTCCAAACGTATGGAAATTTGCTACCTGGTACCCTTAATATACTACCTGCAACAATGTGTGTGACGCATTTAACAGTCTATTTGTTCATGTTGTATTGTATTAATAATAGTTCGGACACTAATGTAAATAAATAGGCTTTTAAAATTACACACAGCTCAAGGTAACAAGTGGGCTTATAATTATATAAAACTAAAGGTGGTCTGCCTATTGTGTTGCTGGAAAATTTATAGGAAGAAATTATTTCATATTTCCAATAGTGTTATTTTTCCTTTAATTTTGTTATTTTAACACTGGCTGATGAGGACCAAAGATAGATATTTCATTCTATTTAGCATTCTAAATTTAAATTATAAAATGTTACATTAACAATTTGTTTTTGCTTGTAACTAATATTTATGAGAACAGGAAAATATTTGTTACTTTAACAGGCAAAAATTACATACACAGGATTATTATATATGATTGACTCTAGTCAAGAAGACACGGATTTTGCATTTAATGACCACGCTTGGCAGATGGGTTGGCAACCGCAGTTAGGCTTTGGTGATGCTTGAATGAGGATGTTGCTGCCCATCTCTCGATAATTAAGCTCAGTTAGTGGCCTCTTACGACACCCATGGGAAAGGAAGGGGTGGCCCTTCTATGCCGAGTTCACACAATATATTATACACTAGCGGTCCGTTCCGGCTTCACACGGATGGACATTACAACGTTTTACATTTTTATCTGATCCTAACAGATATCTATTTCATAGATGTGCCCGTCTCTACCTGACCCTCTCCCGCACCGCTACAATGCCTGACTAGCTAGCCACGCGGCCGACACGGCGCAGGCGGCGAGCGGCGCCTTTTCTATATCTGATTTTTTAACATAATATCTTTCGAATGGAATATACCTACGATTTGAAAAATTCAAAAAGTAATCTGCAGGTATTGAAAAAATTTTGATTACAAAATAATTTATTTGAATAAGGATTACCAAATAGGTATGAATAACATGTACAATGCGACAGCGTTATTTTTCTATTTCTGTGACTTATTAAATTCGTAATATCTATTGAATGGAATAGCCGATTTGAACAATTTAAAAAGTAATCTACATAAATTGAAACAGTTTTGAAAACAATATGATTTATTTGAATAAGGATTTAAACAGAAGTATGAATAACATGGTGTAATTTTGGTCGGTATTTCTATCAACTTTTAAAATGTAAAAAGTGGTTATTGTAACATAACGATAATAGTTGGATATAGTGTCGCGAAGTTTTTTATAGTTATTGATATTTTCTTCAATATTGTAAAACATACTTTTGTTCTGTCATAAATAGTTTCCGCAGCGCACGCGACGAAAGATATTTTATAGCATTTTTCACACCTTGAGTTACGTTACTAAAGTTTTAGTAAGGATCCCTAATCTTGATATCACATTCTGTTTTGTTCCAATCGCCTCAGGAACCGTCCGTTGAGTAGCCCCCGTTTGGAGCATGCCTACTGCCCGTAACATCTCCTCTCTTGTTAAATGGCGCCGCTGCATGATGAAAACAGTCGCATAAATTTCGAATCAATCACTAACTTGCTATAAAACAATAATTTGACAAAAAGATTTCCAAAAACTATGATGGGTAAATTGAAACATTCGAATTTCACCTTAGTAATGCCGCGCAAATCAATTGTTTTAATTATTTTTACAAATTCAAATTAAGAATCGTTAAAAAAGACCTATAAGATATCTTCAAAAACAAAGGTCAGTATTTTTAAAAGTTTAAAACTTTATATGAAATATCCCTAGACGGTGTTGAGGTGTGTATATATATGTATATATGCATATCCCTTTATATTTATGTATGTATTATTTATTTTATTAGCTATACATTGTTAGTTGTTATTTTCTCTACCTATCTCTAATTTTATAATGTAGTACCGCGTTCGTGATTCCCTGTTCACCCCAAAGGTTGACTGGTAGAGAATGCTACTAGCATCGAGTCCACCTTTTGGACCTCATTTTATTTTGGTCAATAAAGTTATTTAAATAAATACGGGCGCCCACCTTCTCAGTGAAATATTTTCTTGTATTTGTTTGTATTTATAATAAATTTACTATTGTAATCTTTTAGAGGAAACAAGAAAGAGTATTTATCTTTTTTTTTTTACAACACAGGGGGCAAACGAGCATGCGGCTCACTCCCCATGATAAATTCGATAGAAGATGCACAGAGATACAACATCTCTACGCAGTTTCAGTGGGTCGAGCCGGACAGTAAGACGCCGATCGTCAACAATTCGAGCTGCTTGACTTTGAATGCGGTCTAACGGAAGGAGTTGGTACTGTGGCGCTCCTGTCCACAGGTGAAAACAGTATTCCATGTGTGGCCTCACTTGAGCTTTACACAGTTTCAGGCGGTTTTCCGGCGTGAAATACCGTCTCACCCTTGAGCACCCCCAACTTTTTGGAAGCTATCTTAGCTTTTTCCTCCAGATGACCGCAAAACTGGACATCGCTAGATATATCGACGCCAAGAATCCCCAGACTCGACTTATTATCGAGGGAAGTGCCCTGAAAGTGAGGAACGGGCCCGGAAGTGAGTGCGGTGAACGCGCAGACTTATGTCTTCTTAGGGTTAAAGTGAATAAGATTGCGTTCGCCCCAGATCGAAACTTTATCGAGTAAAGTTTTGATTTCAGACACAAGTCTGTTCCGGAGCTCATCGGTAAGTGCCCGCGAGATCTTTGCATGACCGGTGTTAAATGCATCTCCTGTACTGTCATCTGCATAACAATGAATATCACTGATCTGTAACATATCATTGATATGCAGAAGAAACTGTGTCGAAAATAGTACACAGCCTTGCGGGACACCAGCATTCACAGGTTTTAAGTCAGAGCATATAAAACACGCATCCCAACATGTGTGTGGACTGAATAACGGTCGGGGATTGATGACTAACACTTCATCATACTACACACCACAACACTAACACGTCATAGAACTTTTACTAGTAATAAAAGTAGGCAGTTACACATGTATTTAGTACTAGCGGCCCGTACCGGCTTCGCACGGGTGGATATTTTTACAATATTTTAAAATGTGGTTACTGTGACATAACGATAATAGTTAGACATATAGTATGGTGAAGTTTTTTGTAGTTATTGATATTTTCTTCAATATTGTAGAACATACTTTTGTTCTATCACCAATATTCTATTTCCGCTGCGCACGCGACGAAAGATATTTTATAACATTTTTTTACACCTTAAGTTACGTTACTAAAGTTTTAGTAAGGATCCCTAATCTTTTCTAGCAATAAATATAGCCTGTGTTACTCAAGGTGAACGTAGCTTTCTAATGGTAAAGAATTATTGAAATCGGAAAATTCATTTTTGAGTTCTTTTATTACAAACATACATACTCACAAAAATACAAATTTTTTCTCTTTATAATATTAGTGTAGGCAAGTAGCGGAAATAAAAAAACTAATTCCGGACATCAGTGACAGTAATATCGAATGGTCCCAGCATCGAATAGATCACTTATTCTTTTCTCGTAGGTGTCGTAAAAGTTTTTCAGGTAATTTAAAAAAAAAAACAAATGACATAAAAAGTTTAAAAATTTTTTTGGTCTTCTCTCTACGTCTACGGTCTTTAAAAAAATTTTTGACATAATCACCATATGGACCAGATAGCTTGTTTATTCAGCTTCAAATCCCTTTTTTTAAATCCTCAATACGATCATTTTTCTTTGAATGAAAAAGGGTATTTTAGTCTTTAATTAACAATATCTCTGCAACTAATGATTGCACAGAAAGTTGAAAATGGGTTCCGGAAACTTCAATAAATTTCCTACAAGAATAAGCAATAAATATTTTTACAAGCAAATACACAAGTACAGATGGGCAAAGCACCGGGTTTAAACCCGGTGCTTTGGTAAAAACCCAATAAACACCCATAAACTCCCATAATCACCCAAAAAAATAGGTTTTTACGTATTTTTTTGAAAATATGTAAGTAATACCAATAAATTATTTTTATAAATTGTATTGATCAATTCTACAATATTAAATAAAACGTTAACTAATAATATTTCAGGAAATTTTAAAAATCTATATATAATAAAATGAAAGTAATTAATTTTCAGTGTTTTCATGTTGCAGTTGATCAACATGTTGGCCTTTTGCTTCCCGTAGATACTTTAAAATTTCTTCATAACACCTCGTTCGCACACATGGCCGTATATATTTAAATTCTTGAGCCACTAACAGTCCGAAATACTCATTTCTTTTATCCTCTTCTCCATAAATTAAGCATTTAGAACAGTTTGTTTCTTCTTTCAGTAAATTTTCTTTTACTTTATCCTCGTTTTTTTCTTTGTTGCGACGACGCTGGGTAAATCATCTGGACACTGGGTCTCACTATCGCCAAATATATTTGGAGATCGGCTTCGGCTACGGCTTGGCAGACATTTTTTTCTTTCTACAATTTTAAATTAAATTTATTAGAATAAATGCTTCGAACACACGCGATCTAAGTACCTTTTGTGTTTATTATACCTTACCTACCTAGGTATAAAAAGAGTACTTACGTAGATTTTCTTTTATTAACTGTTTTATACGAAGATCTTGATCTCTCAAATTAGCATCCATTTTACTTCCAGTGATTATCAACTAAATTAATAATCCACAAAGTATTAAATAACGTTTTTATGAAATATTTAGCACAAAAACAATACCCTTTAAATATCGATCGTCAGTAACTGTGGCTGACTTACCTATATTCTAGCAAGCAGGACTGCCAGATGTGAAGGGGAAATCCCCAATAAATTGTTGCATGTGACTGATGATGTGAGCATGTTCGTTTCATAATAAAAATGTTGCCAGGTAACCAAAAAGTCGTATGTTTTTGTGCGAATTACGATCATAATCTTTACGATCGTACATTAAAAAATAGACAAATAATAGTATGAGTACGATTTAAATCGTATATCTGTCAACCCTGCTAGCAAGACAGCGACAAAATCACGTTGCA